AAACAATCAACAAAACAAAGAGCACAAACAAAAGCCTTCCCCCCACCAAGATTTGAAAGTATCTTGTCCCCTTATTGGTCCTTTGGTCAGGTGTCAGCCAGGTTACCTGAGCTTCTTAACCCTTTACATGTAAAAGGATTTTGGAGTCTCTGGCCAGGAGGGATTTTATAGTATTGTACACAGGAGGGCTGTTACCCTTCCCTTTATAGTTATGACAGGGGGATAAGGAGGAGAGTAAAAGAAACTTCTGTCCTTTCTTCTCTCCACCAATATATATGTGCAAATAAGTCAGAATTTTGCCCTATATGTTTGACATTTCCATACAAATGCTAAGCATGTCATTGGCATCAAAAGTGATAAAACTGGACAGCACATGGGGACTGATTGTTGGATGGAGAACCCCTCACTTATAGGTCATGGGTTCCAGTTACGCTTAGGTCAGTGAAGCCATTGCAATGAGATGACTGTTTGGTGGCTTACAGTTCCTGTAGTGGACAGGTGCTCACATCCCAATGCTACCAGCACCATTTCCACAAAGTGGCACCCTAACTTGCAGTCTTGGTCGAGGTGCCAAGAACTAAATTAGCTATGGGAAATGACCCTCAGAAAGGATCCTTGAAAAACAAAGATAAGGCAAATTAAGGAGTCGGGGTGGGGAGGCTTGCGCTGGCACTGCCTTGTTTTACCTGATTTGTGGTTAGCTAGATGTATTTAGATTCCTGATCTATCATTCCAGCATCTTTCACTAACACTAAATTCAGTAAAAAGATGAATTATCCACTAGAGTCTCACTAAGCTTTGTCATAGTCTACATTAGTGTTGCTACATATAAAGAGCCAGGTGAAGAATAATTTACTTTTTGGCCGTGGCTTTATCTAGTATAATCTGTATTTAAAACACTTCATCCTTCCCATCTCCACTCTCCCACTCCCATTTGTCTGTCTTGTCTACCTGTCGTATCCTGTCTGACACTTAGAGTGTAAGCTCGCTGGAATGGAGACTATCTTTGCTAGGTATTTGTACAGTGTGGCCTTGATCTTTGAGTGGGTTTTCCAAGTGCTACCATAATAACTAATAGTAATAGGCAAGGAAAACAGCTAGCCCTTGACATGAACAGGGAAATCTCCCAAGAGTGATTTGTCTCACTTTTTGTGCACGGTATGTCTTTTCTATAGTTATGATCTTCAATTAAAGAAATCTTTCCACACCTGGTGGTGGCTCTATTTAATACAAGAACACTGATTTTCAGTGTTCTGTCTATCATTAGATGTAGGCATGCACTGATGCAGAAACATACGGTAGAGACACATTAGGAGGCCAACCTTTTGTTCTGCTTTAAAATGATCTGATAATCCAATGCCTGTATTATTAATATTAATATGTTGCCTTTGTGGCAAGTATTACTTAATCAGATACAGATGTGATGACTGTCAGGAGAAGCAGCTTTACTTTCCAAAACCAATTATTTGTCCATGTTCTTTTGGCAACAACTCAGTTATGTGCAGTATCTATTCTTCTCACTGTAACCAAGGTGAAAAGTTCAACTATCTCATCACAAGATGCTACCATTTAAGAGGAAAAACACCAAATAATGTATTGCTTTTTTAAAGAAGTCTACATTGCACTTGCAAAAAAATGCATCTGTTGCTGCAAACGGGCAATTGTACATGCAGCATACAAAGCTATGCACAGAGTCATCTGAGAATGTGCACAATTTTCTGCTGTTGTCTGCACTGGCATTGCAGACTATCGAGGAAGGCTGGGTAAACACAAAACACAATTTAGACATTTGGGTCTGTAGTTTGGTCACTAGAAATCAGGCCTGACTTTTGCCATATATCTATGACTTATGATTTTGGTACATTTTAGAAAAGAAACTTTGGAAAATTCATGATATCATGACCAACCCGTACATTTAGAGACTAAACTACAGAGAAGGTAGCTAATACTTGAAGAATGATCTGATGGGCTCAGAGATAGAGGCAGACAGGTGATGAGAGAAACCAAAAATAATACGAAGAGGAAGAAATAATGACCTGCTTCAATCAAAAGAGGAAATAGCTGTTTAGAAAGCAATGAGGCAGAAAAGATCAGGGGAATAATGCATTGGCTATGAACTCACAAATGTGAAGGAAGAGAATCTACTGTACGACAAAGGAAGTAATTGTCCTATTTTATAAAGCCCCAGTACGACCACACTTGGTAAGTATGGGAATCTAACCTGGTGAAAAATGCCATTAACTTTCTACAGTACAAACTGTACTTTCTAGAGCTGAGAAAGGTAAAACAATGAGAGGCACAAGTCCTAACGAAGGAAAAATACAGGATGAATAGATAAGAAAATGTCCTTACAGTAAGGGGAATTAAGTAATGGAATAAATGACCTAGTGAGGATGTTGAGTCATCAGCATTATAGGTTTTCAGAACCAGGACTGAGGAAATCTTAGTGGGATCAGGGAAGAGGGTTGAGAGGGAGCCTGAAAGGTCTTTTCCAACATTAATATCTATGACTGTAAGATCATCATCATCTGTGAGTCTGGGGAATACAAACGCATCTGAAGCTACACACTTAAAAAATAGCCTTAAACTTTCAAACTTTATTAGATCTTATAAAGCCAGCCAAAACACAATTTTCTCCTGATTTCACTTTGCAAAATATACTGTACTATATTTCAGTTAGCAAGTCATTAAATTTTATAAACATCCTGTAAAATGAAATTTATAATAGAGATGCGGACAGTCCCTTAATTTTTATGGCCTTAGTTGGAACCATTATGATTTCAGGAACATATGGATGCAATGTAGACTAGGTAGACCAGGAGACAATCGAAGTTCCTAGGTTCTGTTCTCAGCTCTGGAACAGACTCTCCATGTGACTTCGGGCAAGTCACTTAACCTCTCTGTGTCTCTGTTTACCCATTGGTAGAATGGGGATAATGATGCTTATAATATTGACAGTAATTAGCACAAATTCTGGAAGCCCTAGCATCTGCTGAGTGAAACTGACATGATTCTTGTCTGTTTCACAGCTGTCACCCACCAAATAGCAGCAATTTCACTCACCAGCTGCTGAGATCCTGGGGGCCATATTTAATTTTTCATCAGGTTCAGAATTGGAATGAAATCAAATTTTGAAATATTGACATTTCCTGCGAACCTGAACTTCCAAGTTTCAGCCAGTTCTAATTAGGACCTCATAGGTATTTAGTAATATCAGTGCTTAATACCTGGATGATGTGGCCAGAGCAATTAGCAAGGCTTGAAGAATCCCTCTGATGAAAACAATGGGGTTTTTCTTAGTGATAAAGAAGTACATCATTGGCAGAATGAACAGTCCATGAACCACCAGGCCACAAACCACAGTAATGGCATAAAAGCCCAGCTTCTTCCCAATAGCTGTAGGATCATCCATTTCCAAGATCTTGCCCGCAATAAGAAACACTATTCCAAAAGGAAAATACCTAAGTGAAAAGAGAGGGAGATTTATTGCTATGAGACAGATCATTTCCACCAAACAATTTAGTGAGATAACAAGTCCCTGCACTTTCATTTCAATACAGACTTAGGACTTGACCACGCAGTGTTTAATAAGCATGGAGGGTGTTCAGAATTTCATAGGAGCACCTTGCAGGATTGGACTCGTCTTCTTTTTCCATTCATGAGTTCTGGGAAAATGTTTTTATATCAAATTATTAGCAATGATACTGTTTTCTACTGAAAGAACAGGAGTACTTGTGGCACCTTAGAGACGAACAAATTTATTTGAGCCTAAACTTTCGTGGGCTACAGCCCACTTCATCAGATGCATAGAATGGAATACACAGAATGAAACATCTAGTAAGAAGATTATATATCCTTACTGTATGTTCCATTCTATGCATCTGATGAAGTGGGCTGTAGCCCACGAAAGCTTACGCTCAAATAAATTTGTTCGTCTCTAAGGTGCCACAAGTACTCCTGTTCTTTTTACGGATACAGACTAACACAGCTGCTACTCTGTTTTCTACTGACTGGCCAGTAAGACACACACAACACACTTAAATACAATTTGTTAATTAAAGCAGTGTATATCTAATCTCTCCCTCAATGTATGCATTTTAAGGTTCCCATCACCATAGTATTTAAGGCCCAGATCCACAAAGGCACTAAGGTGCCTTAGTTCCAGGTTTGGATCCAGTGTGACCTACAAAACTATCGCTGAACCCTGAAGGTGCCTAAACTCACTCTGCACCTAAGTTTTCAGGGTAATAGTTCCCTAGGTGCCTATTTTTCTGCCTCTGGGCATATGCACTGCTGCCTCACTCTTGGGGTCTGGATACCTATCTCCTGCCTAAGCCCCAGTGTGATTCACAAACCAGGACAAGATAGGTGCTCAGACACCTAAGTTGCATATAGGACCTGATCCAGAAGGCATGCTCAGGGGCTGCCTACCAGATAATGTCCCATTCAGAATCCAACAGGAAGAGGAGGTGGTTCTGGTACCCACCTTATAACAGCCTAGGGGTTAACACACTCACCTGGGTTGTGAGAGACCCGGTTCTGTTCCCTCCTCTCTCGATTTGAAAGGGGTCTGCCACCTCTCAGGAGACTGCTCTAACCACTGCGCTATGGGATACTCTGGTTGAGGGGAGGGGAGGTTGCTCACATTGTCTCCTGCTGAAGATGTTCCAGTATGGATAAATAATGAAACAGTGACTGGAGCAGGGGGAGTGGAGCAGGGTCTCTACCCACTGGACTACAGAGTCATTCTCTCTCTCTCTTCTCATGACTGTTTAAGTATTTATTCACAATGGAGCAGTCATGGGGTAAGAGCGAGGTGAGAGACCCCCATTCAAATCGTGTCACCCCCCTCTGGCAGAAAGGGGGAAACTGAATCTGGGTTTCCCACATTCCCGGCGAGTGCTGTAATCTCTGGGCTACCAGTGATAAGGTGGGCCCTGCTGCTGCTGCAGTGATACTTTCCTACCTCACCGTCTTGTTGTGTGTACAGTAAAGCACTTTGAGATCCTCAGCTGGAAGGGGCTAAATAACTACAATGTATTCATTATTTACTCATTAGTAAGACTGTTCACAAAAGTGCTGAAGAGCCATTCTTAGATTAGCAACATTGATGTAAAGAGGGAATGTCCCCCCCCCGGTTAATTTCAACAGCATCCCAGAAATTGAGAGCAGCGTTTTAGGGATAAAGCTATGAGCAGGGCCGGCTCTAGCTTTTTTGCTGCCCCACGCAAAAAAGAAGAGGGCCGCTGCCCCACCGAGCGAGCGCCACGCCACGCCGCGCCGCCGTACCGCCCCCCCCCAGTGCCGCCGAAATCCCC